GCCACAAAAATGGCTCTAAAAAACTCCTGGAAAGAGATAGAGAGCTGCAAGAGCAAGTAAAATGGGGGTAAGAGTAGGACAAGTGCCCTGCAAACAAATGTGGATAGGGAAATCACTTAAAATAACAACATAAAAATTAAAAATACAGCTGAGCCATAAAATAGCACTAGATGGAATCTTTGATTTTAGCTTTGGAAGAACATAAATCAAAATCTAAAGCATGGCTGTTAGGAGGATCAACAGAATTATCCATGACCGGTGTATAGTCGCCATATGGGCAGTCGGACTCCAGGACAACCCTCCCACATACCTAACCTAATAATCGCACTGACACTCGGGTATATGGGAAAATATACCTACCGCCGGTCTCCGGGCAATGTACTCTGCCACCGCAGCCACTGGGCACAGTGCTGCGCCCGGCAAGGCCTGTAGTGTCACATCCCGGCCTCTGCCGTTGGCGTCCGTTTTGGATGATGCCAGGTGCGCCACCAACTTTCCATCCAGAACCCGAACCCTTGATACCTGTAAACCACCGGGCACCGCCCTAGCAGCGCTCACCAACTCCCCTATCCGGAAAGCCCCGAAAAAGGCCAACAGGAACGCTGCCTTGAACAAAGACGCCTCAAACTCGTCGAAACAAACCTCCGGTAACATTCCGACCAAAGCCCCCAGCCCCTACACCGACACCGGGCGCCTAGTGTTCAGCCGCCTGTGGCCCCTCCGATACCCTTTCAACGCCTGCCTGATAACAAAGGTCTTGGTAAGATCCTCCTTCCCGCGCAACCTAAACCAGAAAGCCAACGCCGCCATGGACCTGTCAACCACTGCCAGGGACAACCCCTTTGCCAGCAATTGACACATGTACCACAGAAATGCGCCCCCGAGCGACTCCCCCGCAACTACGCGATCTAGCCCTTCCAACGACCGTTCCCAAGAGTCCCAGACCTTACTGCAGGCGGCCCACGTGGCCGGTGCCAGGGAAGCCTTCACAAGTCCCCCAAGCAGGATGCTCCCAGCTGCCATATCTCGTCCGGGCACGCTTGACCCACTTCCAACGCCTCCGGCGCCACCGCTCGGAATCGGGACCACTGAAAACGAGACAAAGCGTCAGCCACTTCGTTCAAGTACCCGGGAACATGGCGCGTGCGAAAAACTACGTTATGTAACATACACCTTAACACTAGACACCGCAGCAACCTAACCACCGGCTTGGAAGCCGCAGACTGATTATTCACTGCATGCACCACCGCCATGTTGTCGGAGAAAAATACCACCTTCCGGTCCCGCAGCCCTTCACCCCATAGTGCCATCGCGACGACCAACGGGAACAACTCCAGAAAAGCCAGGTTGCGCATGAGGGGACTCGACCCCCACGCTTCCGGCCACTTTTCCGCACACCATCTTCCCCCAAAGTATGCCCCGAAACCTACACTACCCGACACATCCGTGAACAGTTCCAACTCTGCCGCCGCCATGCCCTCCTGCCGAAAGAACACCATCCCGTTAAAATCCCTCAGAAAGGTGTCCCATACGCTCAAGTCGGCCCTCATGGCCAAAGACACCCGAATAAAATGGCGTGGGGATCGAACCCCCGCTGGGTGTCACACGGCACGCGAAGTTCAGCATGCCAATCAACGACTGCAACTGCCGCAAAGTGACCTTGCGCATCCGCGCCACAGCCGCCACCACCCCCTTCAGTCCCTCCAGCTTCCCTTGAGGCAGCCGACACTCTCCCCGAACCGAGTCTATCTCTAACCCCAGAAAACTAAGGCACGTCACCGGGCCCTCCGTTTTATCGGCTGCCAATGGAACCCCGAAGCGGCCCGCCACCCACTCAATCGTCCGAAGTATGTGCAGGCACACGGAGGAGTCGGTTGGCCCTACACATAGGAAATCATCCAGATAGTGCACTACCGAACCGCTCCCCGCTTCAACCCGCACCACCCACTCGAGAAAGGTTCTAAATTTCTCGAAGTAGGAGCACGAGATGGAACAACCCATGGGGAGGCATAAGTCCACGAAATACGCCCCCTCGAAAAAACACCCCAGCAAGTGATGACAATCCGGGTGGACTGGCAGCAACCGAAATGCGGCCTTGATATCCACCTTAGCCATCAGAGCCCCGCGCCCAGCCCGTTTTACCAGCTCGACCGCCCGGTCGAATGATGCATACGAGACCGAGCACAACTCCTTGTCAATATCGTCATTCACGACTCCCCCTTCGGGTAGGATAGGTGGTGAATGAGCCTGAACTTCCCCGGTACCTTTTTTGGAACCACCCCAAGGGGGGA